TAAACAAATAGTTTTACCCACCTTTAAAAGCATGGCTAACATGGTAAGTAAGGTGTCCACATAACCATACATTTTGCCTTGAGAAAATAATAGAGTAGAACGATGAAGCAATAACTTCAGTTCCTAAACAAACAAGCACAGGACAGTAAGTATGACAATATATCTACTGTAAGTTATTTCACCTGCACAGAGAAATTATTTTAGAAACCAAGCTTTAAGAAACATTTTGCAATAATTAAGATCCAATATTCTAGAAACTATTATTTACAATTAAGTGAAACTTAATTACAATTAAGTGAAACTTAAGACTAAAATCATTTTTCAAATATATCAAATTTAACACAGTAAAATAAAACTTTGGTTATAAGCCGTGAAAACATCCTAAACTAGAAAGAAAGTTCTATACATATAATAAAAGTCACGAAGGAAAATTTCCTTCCATGCTACATGGCCTACCTGCTGGGCAGCGTTTGCATCCTGTGCTAAAGTATCTGGATCATACATTGGTTCCAGAGCTTCCAGAGCTTTCTCTGGACGGCCCAGCTGCTGCTGCAGGGTCGACAGCGAAATCCTTGCATCCAAATGTAGGGGAGCAAGATCAACAACTTTGCTATAGCTTTCAGCAGCACGCTCCATATAGCCTAAGGCCTTCAAACATTCTAAAGAAATGTTAAAATAAAGCATAAATATGAACTTCAGATTTGTAACTGGTCAAAATTATGTTTTCATTAAAAAAATACTTAAAAACAATAAAAAAATTTAAAGAAGAAATGAGTCTATTTCTAGTACTTTAAATCAACTATCCCTTCTAATCTTTAATCTACTGACTGATCAATCTCCCCATTTCTCTAACTAAATTCAGATTGCTACAATGATGTTAATTCTTGCACGCCTGTAATTTGGGGTTCTGCTTTGACTTAGCACTACACTTTATTTTTATTTATGTATGTATGTATTTATTTTGTAGAGAGCTTTTTGCTGTAAGGTATATGTGCTCACTAGAGAGAGACAGAGAGAAAGGAGGAGAGAAATCACCCCCCTACACACATGGGAGAGACACTCCGCAATCCCTTCTATTCCATTCTCCTCTCGGGATTTTGGGTCTGCACACACATGCAATCAGCATCAGTTTCAAGCTGCCAGGTATGGGACTCGAACCATAGTCAACTATGTGGGAGTCCATCAACATAATCATTATGCTATTTGCTGGTCCCAAGTACCACACTTTAAATATTTTCCCATATCAGCATTAGCACTTTAAATAGTTATGTAATAATCGATTAAATTGATTATTCACAACTATATTATGTGACATTTAGGATGCTTCTAAAATTTCACTTTTTTCTTTTAAAAAAATTATTTTATTTAATTTTATTCATTTATTTGTATTTTAATTCGACCAGAAAAGGACAGAATGAAAGAGAGAGAGAAAGTGAGAAGGCAAGCTGCCAGGTCCAGGAATCAAACCGCAATCAGCCATGTGGGAATCCAACAACCACGACTAACACCCACAACTACCATGCCACCTGCTGCCTCCCCAAATTTTTACTTTAATAAATAACATCACAAGAAACATCTTTATATAAAAAAAAGAAAGAGTTAACAACTGGCAGACCTGGGACCAGCAGTTAGCATAATGGCTATGTCTGAACTCCCATGTAGTCAACCACAGTTCAAGTCCCAGACCCGGTGCCTTAAACTCACACCGGGCGCATGTGCGTACATGCCCAAGATCCTGAGAGGAGAATGGAGGAGAAGGGATTGCGGCGTGACCATCCCCTCTCGGGGGGTGATTTCTCGCTTTCTATCACTCTGTCTCTCTCTCCCTGGCAGACGCACATGCCCTATAGCAAAAGCCTCTCAAAAAAAAAAAAAAAAACAAAAAAAAACTAGCAGACCAATTTACCCCACACATATGTTTTACAGACTGCAGTGCTTTTTATTTATTTATTTTTGTAAGAGGGATATTTGTTATAAGGTGTGGGCACTCGCAAGAGAAATGGAGAGAGAGAGAGAGACAAAGAGACAGAAAGTGAGAAATCACTCCCTAGAAGGGATGGCCATGCTGCAATACCCCATCTTCCATTCTCCTCTTGGGATTCTGGGCACATACACACAAACACCTGGTATGAGTTTAAAGCTGCTGGGTTCAGGACTCAAACCATAGTCAACAAAGTGGGAGTTCAGTGACATACCCTTTAGATGATTTGCTGGACCCTAAGCCATAGTGCTTTTAAAAACTACTAACTAAGGCCGGCAGGTGGTGCGGTGGTTAAAGGTGCAGGATTCCCACATGGCCAATCACAGTTCAAGTCCTGTACCTGGCAGCTTGCTTTCTCGCTTTTCCTTGCTCTCCATCTGTCGGGTCAAAAAAATTTTTTAAAATTATAATAACAAATAGAATTAAACAAATAAGTCTTTTAATTAAATAAATAAACACTAATAACTACTGGGGCCAGCAGGTGGCATGGTGGTTAAGGCAGCTGGATTCCCACATGACTGACCATCATTCAAGTCCTAGATCTGATGGCTTGAAAATCACTCCAGGATTGTGTATGTGCATGTCCAAATTCCCGAGAGGAGAATGGAGAAGGGATTGTGGCATATGTTTTTAAAAACTCCATTCTTCTTTGTTACCTGCAAAGCTCAAAAGTTTTGTGATTTCCAACATAAACAACCTCTTTCACCCCAATAAGTTACTAATTCCTTAGGATGAGTTTTCAGAAGTAAGGCTATTGGGCTCTATTCCTCAAACTGTACACCCAATAAATTAATAAGTTTTACCATTTGAACATGAAAATGAATCTCTGTACACATTTTTTCTTTATATCCTAATACTCTCAACACTAATCTAGGCCCCATTTAATTCTTTACTTTTTCACTGCAGTTATCACTTTGCAATTATCGCTTTTTTTTTTTTGCCTTTATGGGGTTTTTTTTGGTTTTTTTTTTTTTTTTTTTTTTGCCTTTCAATTGCTTTCTCAAATCTCTCTGGACCATCATCTTTAGGTTAAATTTTGGTTAATAAAATAAGAATATGAATGGATGGCATTTCTTATATTTTTACATTTTTCACCTTTAAAGATACCATGTTATGTTATGCTACAACATTAAGATTTTCTAAACTTTCTTATATACTGATCTCAAATTTTTTAATGATTTTTAGGTAATTCTAAGATTTGAACTTTCATTCACCTCAAGCTACACAGGCTCAAAATCGAAAAAGCATTTATCAGAATCATGGTCATAATTAAACAGGATTTTAAAGTATCTACTATTAGATAGAAGCAGTTTCAATATAAAAACTCAGACCAGCAGATAGCACAATGGTCACATCACTGGACTCCGACATGGCTGACCACAGTTCAAGTCCTGGACCTGGTCACTTGAAAATCACACTGGGCCCATGTGCATACATGCCCAAGATCCCAGGAAGAGAATGAAGGAGAAGGGATTGTAGCATGGCATCCCCTCTGGAAGATGATTTCTCACTTTCCCTCTCATTGTCTCTTTCTCTCCCTAGCAAGCACATATGCCTTAAGGCAAAATATCCCTACCACACCCATCTACCCCCCCAAAAAAAAAAGGCAATGAAAACATAAATTCTTGGCTCTTGTCTTTAAAATTCAAATCCCACAAATAATATAACTTTTTATGATGCTACTGCATTTCTATTCATGTCACTTATCTTTTTTTTGAGAGATTTTCACTGTAGGGCGCGTGCGCTCGCCAGACAGACAGAGAGAGACATAGAGACAGAAAGCGAGAATCACCCCCCGGGGGGATGGTCACGCCACAATCCCTTCTCCTCCATTCTCCTCTCGGGATCTTGGGCACACACGCACACACGCCCGGTGTGAGTTCTAAGCCACCGGGTCCGGGACATGAACCGCGGTCGACTACGTGGGAGTCCAGCGACATAGCCATTACGCTAACTGCTGGTTCCCCATGTCACTTATCTAAACTGGAAAGTTTAAGAGTTCTTTCCTAGTTCATTTTTATGATATGAGTGACCTACTGTCCCAAAATGTCAACAGTACTTCTCTAGATACAGAAAACTTCTTCTATCATGTTATATTTTAAGAGCTATGACTTCCTCAATATTTTATTTAAAAGATCTTTTACTTTTATTTTTAAGTCATCGGGTACAGGACTCGAACCATTGCTGGCCATGTGAGAGTCTAGTGATGTGAATGCTACACCCTCTGCTAGCCCCAATATTTTATTATTTAAAGTTCACAATTTTAAAAAATTATTTATTTTATTTATTCATTCATTTATTTTTTTAATTTGACCAGAGAGAGACAGAGGTTGAGA